GTTCTTTCTCAGCAAAAGACTCCTCAAGATCCACTTCATCCAGTCGCATTCTTTTCAAGATCCTTGAGCTCTGCTGAAAAAAATTATCCTATTGGTGAAAAGGAATTATTAAGTGTTAAAGCTGCCTTTGAAAATTGGCGCCATCTATTAGAAGATACAAAACAACCTATCATAGTCTATACAGACCATAAAAATCTTGAATATCTTTATACTAATAAAACCCTTACGGCTAGACAAGTTAGATGGAACCTATTTTTTAACCGGTTTAACTTCCAATTAATATACAGACCTGGAACTAGAAATAAAAAGGCTGACGCTCTTTCTCGAATTCCTTCTAAAACTTCTATTGATGTTTATCCTCCTAACAAAATAATAGGGATCCTCTCTTCTCTTCAGGATGACTTAAGGAACTTGAATCAAAAGGATCTTGAACTTCCCAAAACACCTAATTTAACAAAAAAGGATGGTATATTTTACTTTAAAAATAGAATTTATATTCCTCCCATTCTCAGGAACAAATTACTCAAAATGGTTCATGATTCACCCCTAGCTGGACATCCTGGAATAAAGAAAACTCTTGAACTAACTTCACGATATTATTGGTGGCCTCGCCAAGATAGAACCATTGAATTATATGTCAAAACTTGTCCTATCTGTCAAAGGTCCAAATCTGAACATAATCAACCTTTTGGATTACTACTTAACTTACCCATTCCAGAAAAACCTTGGCAATCCATTTCTATGGATTTTCTCGTTGACCTTCCACCATCTCGACATTTCACCACTATTCTTGTTGTTGTGGACCGCTTCACAAAAATGTCCCATTTCATCTCTTTAAAAAAATTACCCTCCTCCGTAGAATTGTCCAAAGTCTTTATTGATAATATTATAAAACTCCATGGTCTTCCAGAAGAAATTATTTCTGATAGGGGGACACAATTTACCTCCAAATTCTGGAAGGAGATGTGTCTCTCTCTTCAAATTCAACGCAAACTCTCTTCTGCCTATCATCCCCAAACTAATGGGCAAACAGAGAGAGTTAATCAATGTCTGGAACAATATCTCCGATGTTATTGTTCATACCTGCAAGATGACTGGACCACATGGTTACCTATGGCTGAATTTTCTTACAACAATACCATTCATTCTAGTACGAAAATGACTCCTTTCTTCTCCAACTATGGTTTTCATCCATCCTTATTTCCCATCCAAACTATTACTTCATCCAATCCTACGGTTACATCAAAAAATGGATTTATGTCCTCTCTATTCCTCAAATTACGGGAGAATCTTCAACTCGCTCAAAACTACCAGAAAAAGTTTTTTGACAATAGAAGAAGAATTCCCCCTCCTTACAAAGTAGGGGATCTTGTCTGGCTCTCTTCAAAAAATATTACCACAAACCGTCCTTCAAAGAAATTGAGCTCTCTTTTTCTTGGTCCTTTTCAAATAACTACAATCATCAATGATAACGTTGTTAAATTAAAACTTCCTCCAAGTTTTAAACTTCATCCAGTATTCCATGTCTCTTTGCTTAAACCACACATCCCTGATCCTTTCCATAGAGAAATAGTAACAACTCCTGAACCTATCATCGTCCAAGGTGAAGAAGAATATGAAATTCATAAGATTTTGGATTCTCGTATCCACCGTGGCTCTTTACAATACCTTATCAGATGGAAAGGTTATGGAGTTGATGAAGATACCTGGGAAGATTCATCTAATGTTCATGCAAAGAGATTAATTGATGCTTTTCACAAATGCTACCCCTTTAAACCGAAATAAGTGCACCCAGAGGATGCCCCATGAGAAGGGGGTACTGTCAGGTATACCTAACATTCATGCTGCCGCCGGAACCCACTTCCGGGTTCACGGCGCTTAGCTCCGCCCCTTTTTTCTGACGCGGTCTTTCCACGATACTTAGGAAGACCGCGCCAGATTCAAAGGGCTGGATTATTCACTCAGGTGCGGCAGTGAGATCAGCTGCTCTACTCGATGCTACCGGCTCCACTTCTCAGACCTCGGCTTGTAAACGGATTTCTACCTTCTCATCTCTCAGACCTCGGCTTGTAAACGGATTTCTACCTTCTCATCTCTCAGACCTCGGCTTGTAAACGGAATTCTACCTTCTCCTCTCCCAGACCTCGGCTTGTAAACGGATTTCTACCTTCTCCTCTCTCAGACCTCGGCTTGGATAAACGGACTTCCTTTCTCTCACTACTAAACTGCAGTTTGTTAAAAGAGACTCCTTCCTCTTCCTCCATTGGGTGAATTAACCCTTCCAGTGCCAGAGTGCTTCTAAGTTAAGTAAATCTTTTGTCAAGGAAAGCAAGTCATATCAATTAATTATAGTATTTAATTTCTTTAAACTCTCTGTTGACAAATAAGGATTGCTGCTAAGGCTAAAACTTCATTATTAAAATTCAAGTTGGAACTAACTTGGCATTTTCCTGATTATTATTTAAAGATACAGTCCACTGATTTCACTCCAATATAATAGGAGGTGAAACTTACTGTTCCTGCCCTCAGAATATTCTGCAGTTGAGTTCCAATTAAAGAGGTATTACACAAAAGCATCACATTGCCAAGGCAATTGATACAGTTCCACACAATAGATTAGTATTCAAACTCAAAAAAATCGGTCTAGATTAAAATTCTTGTTCTTGGGTAGAACATTGCCTTAAAAATAGAGTACAAAGAGTTGTCATTAATGGTAAATTGTCAAGCTGGACAGAGGTGAAAAGTGGTGTCCCTCAGGGTTCTGTTCTGGGACCCCTTCTATTTAACATATTTATAAATGATCTTGAAAAAAGCATTGAAAGTCATGTTTCAGTGTTTGCAGATGACACACAACTCTGTAAATCAGTGGCGTACTAAGAGGGGGCGGAGGGGGTGGTCGGCCCCGGGTGCCAGCAGGGTGGGGGGTGCCTTGGGAAGGGGCACCGCCAGGAGCGCCGGCTCCCCTCATGCTGCAGCCGCCCGAGCGCTCTGTAGAGAGCCTCAGGCGGCTGCAGCTTTGCCTGCCCGGGTGCAGCCTGAGGAGAGGGGCTGACAGGAGGGAAGCACTCAGCGCTCCCTCCTGTCACTCCCTCCCTGCAGCGTGGCCGAGCCCTCTATTGGTCCGCAGGTACAGGGAGCATCTGTCTCAGCCGGACTAACAGGAAGTGCACACTCAGGAAACAAAAGCTCTCTGTACCCGCGGACCATACAGAGCTCGGCCACGCTACAACAGAGGTAGGGGGGAGAATAAGGAGAGATGGGTGGGAGAATAAGGAGAGATGGGGGGTAAGGAGATGGGGGGATAAGGAGATGGGGAATAAGGAGAGATGGGGGTAATAAGGAGAGATGGGGAATAAGGAGATTGGGAGGGGAATAGGAGAGGTGGGAGGGAATAAGGAGAGATGGGGGGGTAAGGAGAGATGGAGATAAGGACAGATGGCGGGGGAATAAGGAGAGATGGGGGGAATAAGAGAGATTGGGAGAGGGGGAATAAGGAGAGATGGGAGGGTATGAGTAGGCTCTGAGACATTTGAAGCTGACCACCAAGTAGTATCTTTTGTATCAGCATTATAGGCCTTCTGTCCTAAGCAGGTTAACTCTCCAACAGATGTATTATACAGTGGCCCTCTTCCAGCTAAACATACATGGCCTATGATAAATGTTTTTAAACGCCATTCTGATTTACCTCTAGTACTTACCTGATGATCAGACTGAGAAAGCATCTGTTGTTCATCTGTCTCAGAACCAAGGTACCAAACCTCTCTTGTCTCCCATGGCCATTGGTGTCCCATATTAGTACCTCCACATACAAAGCAATTAGTTATATTAAGACTACCTGCAATACTCTCCATCAAATCAATACATAAGTTCTTAACATTATGGGGAATTTTATCCTCAACACTCATCTCCTCATAGAAGGAATGAAAAACCTGATGAGTTTGAGAAGCTGTCGTCTCAGTTTCAAGTCCTACATATATTATGGTCCCTGGATCTACTCCTGTACCATGTATTTTGAAACCCAAAGAGATTCCCAAACTTGTCAATGAAGTGCTGTGGATTGGAAATGGTCACAGGGTTACACTCCATAGTTTTACAATACGGTGCAGTGGGCAACCTCGATAATCATATCTTGATCTACGGTCTTTCCCCAGGTCGCCCCACCTACACATGACCAATAGGGGCAGAAGTTAAAGTCTCTATTTGGGCAGTCAGGATCAGTAGATCTTTTACTGGGACATAAATATTTATCATAAGTTCGTTCCCATTTAAGATTACCACGTACATTCCAAGGTTTTCCACTACCCCGAGATCGCATTACATGCATCAAATAGTAGAATGCCAATAGAATGTATAGTGCTTATCACAGTCTTATTTATTAAGGTCCCCTGGGAGTTACTGTTCTGAATTACCAACCAAATTGTACGGGGTTGGAATTGGGGATTGAAACACTTGGGCTCACCTGATATTGGTTTGCACACACTGTAATCTATATCTAAATATCTACACTTAGATACAGATCCCCTACATTCATACTTTGAGTGCCAAATGAGAGTTTGGGATATTTGGCTACCTGATTTTGTAGTCTTAATACAACTAACACAGCTTGGAATATCCTCACCTTTACCCTCCTGAAAAATCTTAAAAATACTAAAGCACATAATTAAACACATTATTCTTGTGATCCTCATCTTAATTCTTCGACCGTGTGATGGCACCTCAGCTTCCCGCTTGTGAGGGCTGCAAGGATTGTAGTACTTCTGATCCTCACTTACCTTCACAGAGGTCCCTTCGAGATACTCTGACTATGAAACGTAGGCAGGTGGTCAGGCTTTGTTATGGCCGTCAAAACACCTACTTGTTGATCTCTGCAACTTTCAACCACGATTCTTCAAAAATCAGCTCATACTTCTTAAGTCACGCTCAATTCGACTGGGTCATGCACTTCAACTGGATCTTGCAAGGATTCTCACGATCTGGAGTAGCTTGCCAGGAATCTGCAGCTGGTTTAACCCTAGAGTGATGAATCCACAGAGTCACTTCTGCCACCTTTACAGCTGTTGTGGTAGATAAAAGAACAACATACGAAGGCTAACAGGATGCACCCCAAGCTTTAACTCAATATGTATCGGTGTGATATTACGAGCAAGTCCTGGAGGATTATTCTGTGCCCATACTCCTGGAATGTCAAATAAAGATCCATCACTCTTAGGGTTTGCATTTGTTATTACAGAGTACAAGCTCCATTCTTCTTCTTTTGGTACCAATACTGCTATCATGCCTGGTGATTTATTAAACTTCAGAGACTTTGATCCATTAGGGAGAAAAGTTATCTGAGCTTGAAGCTTTGATAATAGATCTCGTCCTAGAAGTTGAATTGGACACTCTGGCATATATAGGAACTGGTGCTTCACAAAATGGCCTCCTAAAATGCAAGTGCGACTCCTGAGAACCGGTCTAGCAGCTCTTCTCCCAGTAGCTCCTATTACAGTTACAGTCTTTCCAGAAGGATGAGCTACCAACTTAGTCACCACAGAATGTTCAGCACCTGTATCAATCATGAAAGGACTTATCTTTCCCCCTATTGTTACATCGACCATAGGCTCAGCTCGGCCAAGGGGGATGGAGCCCGGTCGGTATCAATAGTCTTCCATGACAGTGTCTGCCAGACCTACAAAAATCTCTATCTTCCCTATCCGTAGGTCTCTGGGTAGGGGGATAATATCTACCTCCCTGAACACTCCCTCTGCTATTCGCATTATTCCCTCCAAAACTTCCTCTACCTCATCCTCTATAGCTACTACCATAACCACCTCGCCCTCTTCTCTCTTCTTGTCTACCACCTGCAATATATCCCCTCTGTGGACAGTCACTCTTCCAATGCCTTTCCTCTCTACAACATGCACTTTGATTCCTACTTAAAGGTCCCTTACTCAGCCTATTCTCAACTCCTTTATTCACTTCCCTTCCCTGTCTTTCTACACTTGTGATAGCTACCTCTAGAATATCTGCCTTCTTCCTCATTTTACGTTCCTCCTCATGCTTTGTCTCAGTTTCCCTATTCATATACACCTTATTTGCTACCTCCACTAGCTGTGATATGGACAGTGGCGTACACATGACCCATGGGGCCCCGGTGCGAAAAGTGATCCAGGGCCCCCCCTTCCCCCACGCTTACTTGGCGCGGTTCGGGGCCGCGACACATGGCGGCGGGCACCTGGTCGCAGGCGTTGCAGGGCTGCGACCCCGCGACCGCGGTATGCACACACACTTAAAAGACCACTATAGGCACCCAGATCACATCAGCTCAATGAAGTGGTCTGGGTGCCAGGTCCCTCTAGTTTTAACCCTGCAGCTGAAAACATAGAAACGGCTATGTTTCACTGAGGGTTAATCCAGTCTCTGGTGGCTGTCTCATTGACAGCTGCTAGAGGAGCTTCCGCAATTCTCACTGTGAAAATCACAGTGAGAAGACACTGAACGTCCATAGGAAAGCATTGAGTAATGCTTTCCTATGGGCGGTTTAAATGCGCGCGCGCCTCTTGCCGCGCATGTGCATTCGGAGCTGAGAGGCGGACACTGAGGAGTCCGACGCTGGAGAAAGGTAAATGCTGAAGATACACACACACACTCTCACGAACAGACGCATACACACTAGCTAACAGACACACACATTTACTGACAGAGACACACTCAGCGACAGACATACATACACACTCACTTACAAAACATACACTTTCACTGACAAACACACACTAACAGACATCAAACACACACAGTAACACACTCACTAGCAGACACACACACAATAACATACACACTCACTGACACACACACACAATAACACATACACTCACACACATACACTAACACACACACATACTAACACACACACACACACACTAACACACATACACTAACATACAAACACACACATACACTAACACACACATACACTAACACACACATACATTAACACACACATACATTAACACACACACACTAACACACACATTTTTTTTTTTAAATGTAATCCCCCCAGCCTCCTTACCTTTGTGTTGGGGGGATTCCCTGGGGTCCAGTGGTGCTGCTGGGCTCCTGGGCGGGTGGCCGGTCGGGCAGGCGGGCGCGCGAGGGAGCACTCAGTGCTTCCTCTTCAGCTCCCTCGCGCGCCGCGTAGGGATGCCGGCGCCGGAAGATGACGTCATCTTCCGGCTCCGGTATCAGTGCGGTGCGCGAGGGAGCTGAAGAGGAAGCACTGAGTGCTCCCTCGCGCCCGCCTGCCCGACCGGCCAGACAGCCCGCCCACCGGGGTCAGCAGGGCCAGCCTCGGGGGGCCCTAGGGTGGCCGGCTCCTGGGCCCCCCAGGGGAAGAGGCTGGCCCTGTGGCTACATACCGGGTCGCAGGGGCGGCTGGGCCCCCTGGTGGGCCGGGCCCGGTCGCAGCCGCGACCCCTGCGACCCTGGTATGTACGCCACTGGATATGGATATCCCTGCAAATCCCTCTAATTTTTGTAGCTTTCTCTTAATATCGCTCTGGGCCTGGCTGACAAATGCTGAGTTAATCATTTGGAAGTTTTCAGGGGCTTCAGGATTGAAAGGAGTCTACAATCTATTTGACTCAAGCAGTCTCTCATAAAAAGCACTGTGTCATTCATTAGCTTTTTGTAACACTTCAGCCGTCCTGGACATGTTAATTGCCTTTTTCCCTCCTGCCTTCATGCCAGCAATAATGGCTTGTTGATAGGCCTTTTGATGGATCATGTCAGCGCCATTCACGTTCCAAAGGTCAGTAACAATTGCTGACAATCAGCCGAGGTGGGATTGTGTGTTTGTATAATAGAGGTAACCAAATCTGGCATGACTTCAGGTTTGTCGGTATACAAAGAGTTATGAGTCTTCCAATTGAATAGATCAGTTGTGGTGAAGGGGACATAGACAAACACTGGATCTGCCCGTTGTATTTGGCCATTTCCATCAACGTGTGTTGGGCCCAGTGTAAGTCGGAGAGGCATCTGGCAATGTCGGGATGGAAGGGTGCCAGTCAATTGTCGGGTTAGTATGGGGCTTCGGCAAGGCTGCTCAGTAATAGGTTCCGGTCTGAGAGTAGTAAGATAGGTGGAAGGGGGTGAGCTAATTTTACTAGTCAGCATTTGGCGGATGAAAAAAAAATTAGAAAAGTGTTAAACCAAAAACCTACCAGTAGGTGTCACCAGAGGGTAAGTAATTGTATAAAAATAATCTTTCTGGGTCTAATAATAAAACTTAACTTTTAATATATTTATACATAAAATAAAACCTTATAGCAATAAATATATTAAAATAGGGTAAACAATCCTACTTCTGTCTGTTATATGCCAGTATAGAGTTAAAGATGATTATGCAATGTAATATCAATGTAACTCCCGAAGATGGCCAGTAGGTGGCCATAGAGTGCTTCCTAAAGTCTAATGAAGCAGATAGACTTTAATTATGTGCTTATTGTATTATTACTTATTTTAATCACTGTTCACCCTGATATCTAGGCTTGAGTAAAGCTTTAGTTCTATGGTAAATTAAACATCTCAGTTTGTATTTTAGTAAAGGGGATATTTTAAAGAAAGCTGGGAGGGGCACATCCAGTAACTAAAAAAGGATAAAAGTGTACTCTAGCATCTTATACCATTGATCATTTCTTCATTTCTTCCACTGAATGCACACAGTGTTCAGTAGTTTTAGTGCTATTTCAATGATTATGGTACAATGTCATTGCTGAGAATTATCTGATCCAATAGACTCAGTTACTGTTATTAAGAATTCTCCTCACAATTTAACTATTAATAAAATTCAATGCTAAAATACACTCCTACCAAAAAGGAAGTCAGTTCAAATTACAAAGAACCAGTGGGGGGGTTGGTACAGAAATACAAGAGTTTGAAACAAAAGAACAGATAGGTATGTGGGTAGGCAGGGACAATAGAGCGGGGAGTGCAAATACCAGCTATACCAGTTTTAGCTTGGGAGGAAGAGTGGGGGAATGGCTATTCTGGCTCTGGAGGATGAATAAGGGGGTTGGCAATCAGATGCAAGGGGGGAGGTGTCCAAACTAGGTGGAATTAAGGCCTTAGTGTACAAACAGGTTCTGGCTACCATGGACTCCATTGTTCTTCTTAGCACAGCTTGTTCCATTTAGCAGTGTGTCAACAATCTGTATACAGAAACTACTCGTATAGCCCCAGCATATTATTTATAACAATGTAAACCTGCTGTATTAAATCTGGATAAAGGATCCACAGGAACACTGGTTACCAGAACAGGCCGTCCTCTGCTACACAGAGTATTTTAATCTTTTGGGGGACAGTGTTACACCATAATCACAAACAGCATATTCCTTAGAAAAGTTTTTTTGTTTTTTTTTAAACATACAAGACAAAGGACCGTTTGTGAATCAGAAGCACCCATGATTTCAACAGAGCGTCTGATTCAAAGCGTACAAATAAACAAACAGTTTCAACAGTCACACCAGTTACCTTAGCAACAGCACCACGCGGCACGGTTACTAGGCCCAAACATACACGTACACACACGCACAGGATCCTCACACGCTCAACAATATCACGACATCGCACACACGAAATTAAATCAAAAACCCACCAAAGACTATACACTTATGTATGTAACTATTATTCAAACCATACAATTATCCACACTATTAATCCACATAAACTAACCGATCACATAACATTTCAACAATTTCGTCTCTACAGTCAGTGGTTATGGTACGGTTAGTAACTATTGTACAGTTTAGACAATTATGGTTTTAAAGTTACAATATCAGTTAGTACACATACAAGGTTAAACAGTAATTGTAGTATTTTTCACGTAATATCAGTATTTATGGTACAAGTCAGTGGTTATGGTACATGTCAGTAGTTATGGTACCTGTCAGTGGTTATGGTACCGTGCACTATTTTACACTATACACACAATTTACACTCCCACTAGACGGCAGAGCTCAAGCTTTCTAACAGGACATACAATTTAACCAGTTCACCAGTTCACCAACTACAGTATATCTAACAATATTTACAATAATCCCAACTATTCTAATTGACCCGCACCTTGAGAACTATCGAACTATTTACACCAGGATTAGGTTAGTCTACGCTGCCCAAGCACCATATTTGGCGAACTAATGAGCAGAATTTACAACAGGACTCATTTAGTCTATTTTCTCTATCAATAGTCTAGTGGTTGAATTTACACGCCTCCCACTTAGCCAAGATAGGTTGAGATCTAGCAGACGGAATGTACACCAGAATC